TTTAAAAAGCCTATTGATTGGGGAGTCTCTAAAAATATATTTGATTTTTCATGTTTAGTGACTAAGTTAAATAAAAACAAACAGAAGCCAAACATGTAAGACAGCACAGAAATGTAGGTACATACTCCACTATTAAACACTATCATGGGGTTTGCATTGAGCTGAAAAAAAAGTGAACATTTCTTCCTCTGGCTTATTTTTTAGTTAAAAAAAATAAAAGCCTGTCTTTTTGATACAAATTAAGAAAATTTCTTAGGTTAAGAAGTCTGGTACTTTGACTTATTTCTTCTGCTGAATTTCAGTAGTACATAAAAGTTATATTTCTAACTCAAAGATACATTTGCTTTTTTTCTAGAAAATTACTTAGTAACAAAAGAAAAGTTATTATGCTGGGAATAGTGCCCCTGAAATTAATGTGTTCTTTTACTCTAGTCTAAAAATATCAGACATCCATTCATGAAAAGCAATGATGAGTATACCTTTAGTAGATCATATAATATCCTGTGTTTTCGATACTTTACTTCTTCTAAAACTAAGCTTCCAGCATCAGTTTTCATTTCTGAATTTCCTCTGAAGGATATCTCTATCAGTTCTATCAGATGCCATATTTCTAGGTCTAGTTTGTCTTGACAGAGAACCCCATTGAGGTCAGAAAGTGAGGTCAGTCACACATGGAAAGTCAAACAGTATAGTGGCCGGGAAATGCCTAAACAATAGAAGATGTTTCACTGGATTTGGTCAAGAAGATATTTGCCTTCAGTTTCAACCAGAAGTCAGAGGCTAGCATACCTCTAATTTCCTAGTAACAGATTAGTCATTTTCTAGCTATACATCTAGATACCTTGCTGTCATTTTAGAAAAACATAATCTGCTTGATTGCCAGTCAAATTCTAAGGAATAGTTTAAAATGTTAATCTTTAATGTATCATAGAGCACTGGAGGTTTTGCTCTGGCAGATATGGATGGCAGTTGCAACTTCAGCAGATTGAGAGCTAAGTGATATAGGAATATGCATGAACCAATTGAATGAGCAAACAGATCAAGAACTTTCTGAATTTCTTAAAGCAGCATCTTAACTACAGTGTATGGGAATGACAGTAACAGTAGGGAAGGGAGCATCCTTGATCCTTGAAGGCAGCCTCCCAGATTCCAAGCTTTACCCAGGGTTTTATGTCTTAAAAGTACATGGATACTGGCATGCTGTTAGTCATTGTTCTCTTGTCATAATGCCAGGATCTTTGCCCAGTTTCGAGAGCAATCAGACATAAAGGTCTGCCAGGACACCCTATTTACAATAGCAAATTCATTTTTAGACTAAGTGAAGATATTGATGCAATAGGCACTGTGATGTGAGAGGGCTTGGATGAGGCCCCAGATCACACTAGAATTCCTCGATATGTTTAGATTGGAGTCAGATCCTCCTTGGTGAGCTCCATGAAGCCATTGCTTTGGACTTGAATGACTATGTCCAACCTCTTAGTCTCCACTCACCTGGGCATGAAATCTGAGATTTTCTTTATTCTACATTTCTGCTGCACACCCTTAGCTTCATCTTTCATCTGTTGTGCATATTTTAGGAGATTCTCTTCCATAGCAATTTTCTTTCCAGAAAGGTGTTTCCTTTAATGGTTTAATTCAAGTGCCGCTTAACCTCTTTCAGAGATTTGGCAGAAGCTCATTTGTACTTATTCCATGTCATCATTTGCTTATCTAGCTCTCTAATATAATTTTGTAATTCATCTTTGTTTCTTTTAGTCTTTATAAGGCCTTTCTCTAATGCTAAGACCTCTTGGAAGATTTCATAATATTGCTTTTCGGAGAGATTCTAGCTTCATCAGAAAGCAGTTATCTTCTGACCAGAAAGCCCTTTTCTTATTTCTGATTTATTGGAGCTGTGTCTCCATCTCATTTTTTTTTCAGTTTCTGAGACTTTGTAGTTCCTCTGTATATTCTTTGCCCCTGTTAAAACAGGGGAAGAGCATCACTCTTCTTGTAGCCTGATGTACAGGTGCTGGAGGTGAGGAGGGGGTGATATCTGGGCACCTCATCCCTGCCTTAGCTCTCCAAGGGGTCATTTCACATTGGCTATTTTACAGCTTGTTGTGAGCTAAAATTCTTGAAGGTTTTCTTTATGAATTGCAGTTTAGCACATTATTTTGATCTGTATTTGGGTACTTTATTAAAAAGTCTGAATGGAAGATTTGAAAATGTCATTTACTAGATTATACTTTGATTTTAGAGATGATTTGAACTAATGATTTTGTAACTCAATGCATGAGCTGTCCATTTCCCAAACTTTGTATCATTCACAGATTCGATGAACTTCATTTTGTATTCTTCTAAGAATATTCATTTCATGTCATCCATACACTAAATATTATTTCATATAGAGCATGGAGGCCCATTAGGATAAAATTCTTCTTTTTGAGTTGGTCACAGGCTGGTGGACAAATGGATTAACACCCAAAGAATTAAACTGCAATGTAATGTGATTGATAATGATGATACAATTTGGCGTGGTTTTAGAACTTGCAAAATTAGGGATGATGTCTGTCTCTGGAGAAGATTTTGCTCAGATTATTTGTAAAAACAAAACCAAAAACTGATTGTTTAAGTCCACCAAAAGAAAGAAGCCAAATAAAACATTAATGTACTATGTATTATTTCTCTATTTAAGACAATGTTAAGCGACTTCAGATATCAGCCATTGATTTTTTCAGACCCTGCCAGAGGGAAGATTTTCTTTATATGTCTGAGCAGTTCCAGATTCTTCAATGGCAGAATTCACTTGGAGGTAGAGAGGTGATACAGAAGTGTTTGTTCACAACCTCAGCCAAGCTCTGTTGCATGATGGGAGGACTTCTGAATAAGGGCAAAGATGTTCTGATCTTGTCTCTTTTGGGAGATAAATAACAGACCATGATGATAACTATCATATCTTCATAACAGTATTTAAATGAACTTTAGCCAGGAGTTCTTTCTTTGTTTATTAAATAACAAAAAATATACTTTCTGAACAAAGGGAGTTTTTCTCAGAATTTTGCAAATATTATCTACAATATGTGAAATTTATTTTGTGGCCACACACAGGTTGATGTACTTTTCAAAAATAATTTATAACGGTCACATTTTATGGAGTTCATTTTTTCCTTGAAAGAGGAAATATCATTAATTGTATAGCAAATGATTAAATATTCTCATATCCTTCAAAAAATATTTTACCAAGGGTCTCCCAGATTACATTTTGGAATTCTACAAAAGTACAGAAAAGATAGTGACATGCTTCCTAATTTTTCACCCAAGTTCTGAACTTTAAATAATGAATTGATCAGATTTATGAAGAGAAAGAAAGTGTGTCATAATATTAGAAAATGTCTTTTGGTTTAACATAATTAATAAACAGGGGCAGAAAACTTGTAGCATTATGGACCTGTGATTTGAATTAATTTTGGAGGTTGGGTTAGCAATGATTGCTCAATGTCTTTAGCCTGAGTGACTATTTTCTGCTTCCTATCTCTCTCCCCATCTCTCTCCCACTCTCTCTCTCTCCCACTCTCTCTCTCTTTTTCCATGAGATGCATTAATGGTGGTTTGGAATATTCAAGTGTGGGAGTGGTATTGATAATTTTCATAATTTTCAATCTATTTGGCAATCCACGTTTTGAAAAGTCACACTTTCAAAATAATTTTTTCAAGATATATTGACTCATCATTTGAGTGTTTCCTTTCCATTAGTACTCTTTTATCCTACCAGTTGCTATTAGATAAGCTCCAGTTCAATTTTCAACTTTCCATTAATATGACATCTATATAATATCTTCTTCATGCAAACTCATAAACACATGTTGCTTCAATACCATTTATACATATGATATTATATGATACATGTTTTATACTATACTATACTTACTTACAGTGGTATATATACCATTTATTCTTTTGGCTTTTTGTGTGTTTTGTTAGTCTCTTGCTTATTTAATTACGAAAATAAATATTTGAGTATCTATGATATGCCTAGCATGATTCCAAGCTCTGGGAGCACAGCAGTGAACAAAACAGATATATACAGTATGCTTTCTATTGGGGTAGAAAATAAAGATGAATAAAATAGAAAGTGATATCTCAGGAAAAGAAAAAAAGACAGAGAACAAGAAGGCGTGAGTTAAGGGTTAGTGATTTTCGATAGAGTGACCAAAGAGGACCTCATCAAGAAGATGATAGTTGAGTAAATAAATAATTCTGGTAAGGGAGAGAGCCATATGGATATCTGGTGGAAGAGCATTCTGAGTTTATGAGAGCAACATATACGAGGACCCTGAGTTAAGAGTGCTCTTGGTGTGTTTGAAAGCAACCAGCTGGTAAGTGTGGGTGGAGGTGAAAGGGAAAGAGAACGGGGAAACTGATTCTGTATGGATTTCAGTTCAGTTCAGTTGCTCAGTCGTGTCTGACTCTTTGCGACCCCATGAATCGCAGCATGCCAGGCCTCCCTGTCCATCACCAACTCCCAGAGTTTACTCAAACTCATGTCCATCAAGTCGGTGATGCCATCCAGCCATCTCATCCTCTGTCGTCCCCTTTTACTCCTGCCCCCAATCCCTCCCAGCATCAGAGTCTTTCCCAGTGAGTCAACTCTTCGCATGAGGTGGCCAACGTATTGGAGTTTCAGCTTCAGCATCAGTCCCTCCAGTGAACACCCAGGACTGATCTAATTCAGGATGGACTGGTTGGATCTCTTTGCAGTTCAAGGGACTCTCAAGAGTCTTCTCCAACACCACAATTCAAAAGCATCAATTTTTCTGCTCTCAGCTTTCTTCATAGTCCAACTCTCACATCCATAAGTGACCACTGGAAAAACCATAGCCTTGACCAGATGGACCTTTGTTGGCAAAGTAATGTCTATGCTTTTTAATATGCTGTTGAGGTTGGTGATAACGTTTCTTCCAAGGAGTAAGCGTCTTTTAATTTCATGGCTGCAATCACCATCTTCAGTGATTTTACAGGTCAGGGGCGGCGACCGAGAGCGCCAGGCTGTGATGGTGCAGGAGCCCCGGAGAGGAGCTACCCAACCTCCAAGGAGCGGCTGCTGTGCGGGCACAGGAGGGGCGGCTGTGAGAAGATACCCCTTGTCCAAAGTAAGGAGCAACGGCTGCGCTTTGCTGGAGCAGCTGTGAAGAGATACTCCACGTCCAAGGTAAGAGAAACCCAAGTAAGGCAGTAGGTGTTGCATCAAAGAGAGAGGGCATCAAAGGGCAGACAGACTGAAACCATAATCACAGAAAACTAGCCAATCTGATCACAGGACCACAGCCCTGTCTAACTCAGTGAAACTAAGCCATGCCGTGTGGGGCCACCCAAGACGGATGGGTCATGGTGGAGAGGTCTGACAGAATGTGGTCCACTGGAGAAGGGACTTGCAAACTACTTCAGTAGTTTTGCCTTGAGAACCCCATGAACAGTATGAAAAGGCAAAATGATAGGATACTGAAAGAGGAACTCCCCAGGTCAGTTGGTGCCCAATATGCTACTGGAGATTGTTGGAGAAATTATTTCAGAAAGAATGAAGGGATGGAGCCAAAGCAAAAACAATACCCAGTTGTGGATGTATGGATTTATAAGTCCTCAAAGACTTAGGCTTTTACTCTTATAGAAATGAAAAGACACCGGGGGACTTAGGATCAATATGACTGGATTTGCATTTTAATATGATACTACTTCCACCTGTTGAAAATAGAATATATGAGGCAAAAGTGGAAACAGGGAAACAAGTCGAAAACTATTCCAATCATCCAAGTGATGAAGGAGGGGAGAAGTGGTTTAATTCTAGAGAGTTCTACATTATACTTCATCATTACTTTCTCTACCCCAGCCCTGAAGGGTCCTTGTTTTTTTTTAATGGAGAGGGTATTTAGAAATAAAGAACTCTAAAAACTCCCTACAAACAAAAGTCCGAGACCAGATGGCCTCACAGTTGAATGCTACCAAACATACAAAGAAGAATTTTATCAATCTTTCTCAAACTCCTCCAAAAGACTGAAAATGAGGGAAAACTCCCAAAGACATTTTATGAAGCAACCATCACCCTGATAACAAAACCAGACAAAGATATCAAAAAAAAAAGGGAAAATAATAAGCCACTATCTTTGATGAATATAGATACAGAATTTTTCAATAAAGTGTTTACAAACCAAATCCAGTGACACATAAAAAAAGATCATATCACTCTAACCAAGTGGGATTAATCTCAATTCATGAGGATGGATCAACAAATACAAATCAATCAATGTGATACATCACATCAACAAAAGAAAAGACAAACTGATGCAGAGAATGCATTTGAGAAAATTCAACATCCATTCATGATGAAAACTCTTACCAAAGAGTTTATATAGCAGGAACCTATGTAGTTCCTGCCATATATATATAACTATAACTATATAACTATAACTATAAACTATATATATAATGATAACTATGTAACTACATATAACCATAACTATAAACTATATATATATATAAACTATATATATATAGTTCCTGTATTACATGTATATATATATATAAACTATATATACAAGCTATATATAGTTTATATAGCAGGATATAGCAGGAACTTATCTCAACTTAATAAAATCTATTTATTACAAATCCAAAGCCAATACCAAACTCAGTGGTGAAAGGTTGAAAGCCTTCTTTTTAAAATCTGCAACAAGACAAGGATTCTCACTCTTGCCATTGCTATTCAACATAGTGTTGGAAGTTCTAATCACAGCAATAAAACAACAAATAAATAAAAAGTATTTAAATTGGAAATGAAGGGGTAAAATTGTCCTTATATGCAGAGGACATGATACTATATATATAGAAAGTTGGACCTAAAGACTCCACACAAAAAAATTCTAGAACTGATTAATGAATTCAGCAATGTAGCAAGGTACAAGGTTGACATACAGAAATTAGTTACATTTCTTTATACTAACAATGAAATATCAGAAAGTGAATGTAAAGAAGAACAACACCTTTAGAAATTACACCAAAAAGTACTTAGGAATAAACCTGGTCAAGGAGGTGAAAGACTTCTATGCTGAGAACTATAAAACATTAATATAGTAAATTAAAGATGATTCAGAGAAATAGAAAGATACCCCATGTTCTTGGATTATAAGAATTAATATTAAAATGGCCATGCTACTCACAGTGATCTATGGATTTAACATAATACATATCAAATTACCCATGATATTTTTTTCACAGAACTAGAATAATTCTAAAATTTATGTGGAACCATAAAAGACCCAGAATTGAGCTGGAGGTGTACCCCTCCCTGACATTAGACAGTACCACAATGCTACAGTAATCAAAACAGTATGATATTGGCATAAAAACAGACATACAGATCAATGGAGCAGAATAGAGAGCCCAGAAAAAACCCACTCACCTACAGTTAGTTGATCTTTGACAGAGGAGCCAAGAATATAAAATGGGAAAACGTAGTACAGGAAAAGTTGGACAGCTGTATGTAAATCAATGAAGTTAGAACACATCCTCACATCATGCTCTAAAATAAACTCAAAATGGCTTAAAGACTTAAACCTAAGACATGCAACATAAAACTCCTAGAAGAGACCATATGCAAAACATTCTTTGACATAAATCTTACCAATGTTTTCTTAGGTCAGACTCCCAAGGCAACAGAAAAGAACAATAAAACAGACCAAGATCTTGAAACTATGCTCATTGATCCTGGGCCATTTCAGTGGACAGAAAATAATGATTACTTTTTAAAATATCATGCCTTGCTACTAAGATTTCCAATTACAATTCCAATCACAAGATTCTTTCTTGCCTCCCCACATTTTCTTCTCCCACATTGAGGGTTTGGATCCCCCAAATTTCAATATATTTATTACTGGCTCATTCTCAAAATATACACAGGATAAGTGGAGAATTTCTATACCTGTACTACTACAAAAACAAAACTACTAAATCAAGTTGAGGATTTATTCACATTGTCTTTAGACTGGGGATATATAATAAAAACATTGTGTACAAATGTTATTTGGATTAGTTTCATCTTTCCCTATGTGGTTATATAATCCATTTGTTATGCTGTTTAATTTGTTTCTATTTGCATTCAATTTTACTTTGTTCTAGTTAATTTTGATTTAATTTTTTTAATCTGCAAAGTATTACATTTCTTCTAGTCAAACCTATACAAAGAGCTTTTCTCAGAGAGATGCTGCTTTCTACTATCTGATTCCCATAACAAATTAGTCTATTATATTAGTGTTTAGTTCATCATTCCTACATATCTTTTTGCAAAAATAAACAGAAAATGTATATATTTCCCTTACTTTTTCCTATCTAACAGAGAGCAAATTATACTTATATCTTTGTACACTGCTTTTTTACTTAACAATAAATATGGAAACCATTCCTCATTCATTCATAGAGATCTTCCATTTTCTAGTGTAGAGCTGTGAGTACTCTATTGGGTGGATGCTCCATAGTTCATTCAATTAATTTCTAGGTATGGACCTTTAGCTTTTTTCTAGTATTTTGCAGTAACAAAAAATGTTGCAATAAAAAAAAACTCATGCATATGCATTTTCTTATTTTTTGAGCTATATTTTCAGAATAAATTCCTAGAAGTAGGATTGTTGGACCAAAAGGTAATGCAAATATAGTTTTGTAAAATATTGTCAAAATAGCCTCTAGAGTTGTCTTTTTTGCTTTCCCACAAGCAAGATATGAAAGTGCCTGTTGTCCCACAGCTGCTCCCACTCTGGCAGTCAGTATGTTGCTAAATTTTGAATTTTTGTAAATTTGACAGTATCTCAGGATTGTATTAATTTATGCTTTTATTATACAAGGAGAGCTAAATTTTTGACTTGGGCAATTAAGAGAATAGAAATTTCTATTAACTGCATCATGGAATATTGCTTTTTTATTTAAAAAAAGGTTTTTTAGTCACTGTCAGAGTTTCAGTTTGGGATATATTAATTTTCAGTCTCCTATTGGACAGTCAAGTGAATTTGTTGAGAGTTGATACATAAGTCTATAGTATAGGGGAATGGTCTGTGCTAGAGATATAATTTTCTGATATAAAATATGTGATATTTACATGCTTGAGACTTGAGATCACCAAAGAAAGTGTTAATTAGAAAAGATGTATAAAAATTAAGCCCACGGGCTCTCTAATATAGAGAAGTTGGGGAACTGAGGAAGGAAGAACCAGATAAAAGACTAGGAAAGAGTGTTCAGACAGGCAGACAAACATCCAAAGGGAAATTTGATGTCCTGGAAGCCACATGGAGAAAGTGTTTTAAGGTGGAGAGACATGTTACAAACAGGTTTAATTATTTGAAAACTGACCATGGGATTTAGCAATATTAAGGTCTTTATAAGGAGCAACTTTTTGAGTGTTGGAGTGAAAACTTGATTGCTTTGGGTTCAAGAAAGAATAGGCAGGGGAAGCAAGGTATTAAAGACTGGTAGTATAGACTACTCTTTCAAAAATTTTTACTGTATGAGGAAGTAAAGAAATGGGCAACAAATTAAGTGTCTCAAGAATAGACACCGTGTCTTTATATTGTTTAGTATCTTCATAGCACTTATTACTCTGAATATTTTTGTGACAAAAATATAGACTTTGAAGTGAAATGCTTTCCAGTAGGAATATTCCTTATGCCTTCCCAGAGAGTCTTGTCTGAAATGATTTTTTTTTCAGCCAGAAGTCCTTTATTCTTAATATTGAGAAACATGCAAACTCAAGTAATTCCAATCAGAATATGAAGCTTGGATATGTTGTCTACTTGTCAGTTTGACATGAATTCCTTATTGTTGGATTGCTCTTCCTTGACATCCTTTGTTGTCAATTACAGTCTCAACAGAATATGTATGTTTTTAACTTATTCTGGAAAATTCTTTATAACTTTTTGAGAGGCAGTGCATCATACTTGAAAAGAAACTCTGAACATAAGGTGAAGGGCATTCAATTTCCTTGAATAAAATATACATAGATGTATTGTCACATATTCTCTCAACCAAATGTCTAGGCTTTTCTTCTTCGATTCATTTACACATTACCATTATCAAACTTATTTGAAATGTTGATGGAAAATTCTATCCCTAGTAGAAATCCGTTAGGTTTTTCCATTCAGATTTTAGTTTT